GGTTCACCGCGCGGTATTATTGGGGGGTTATTACGGCGTTTTGGAGTTCATACCCCCAATAACACCGAAATAATACCCCAGTAACTCCGAAATAACACCAAATTTGAGATTTGCAATTAACTATCGAGAATTTTGGGTGGGGTGGAGGTTATAAACAACTAGCATTTCTTAGGAATGGTCATGCAGCTGAATTGCTGGACTCGAGATTTTATTAATTTTTGAGACTGAGATACAGTGACTCTGATTCCATTTTGAGAATGGGTCTTTTGACACTAATGCAACTTAGGGTTTTTTTTCTTTTTTTGGTAATTAAACTTGGCTGAATGAGTTTTCTGGTATTGGTTCTAAAAATGCTTACAATGGAAATTAAAACTTTTATAGTTCTAATCAGCATACATTTGTTAAAATAAATTGCATGTTACAAAAATGGCGAAAATATTTAAATAATAGAGGCTTAGAATTAGAGAGACAGCATAGGAATATTACGCTGAGAGATATCTTATAAACCTAAAATTGGCCCTGCATTATGGATTGGGTAAAGCAAAGTTAACATGGATGAAAGCTGTTTAAAATAGTTTAATCTCTTCATTTGTGCTGAAAACTCTTTTTTTACAAGTTTCACATGCTTAATGGTCGGGTAATGATGTTCATCCTCATCTTTATTCTTACGTTTTTCGACTTTGCTTCTCTTCTTCCTCTTTTGTTCCCTCTATCTTGATATTCTGTATTCCAGTGCCTAGATGCTTACATTACACATTCTATCATTGTTTATATTACCATGCTATGGATAATAGTGGGAGTAACGATGAAGATTTTGAGTCATGATATGAACAACTTCTTCATTTTCCTTTTTGTTTTTTAATGATTTTGTCATCAGCCTTTTCTGTTGAACTCTTTTACCTCAGATTTTAAACAACTATTATTTAGAATGTTTATTCTTATCATGTTTAGCTGTCTATTTATGTTAGCTAAGCCATGATAAGCTTAGCAAATTTAAGCAGTAAACTTTTGAAGCTTAAACTGTAAGTTGTGTTAAGTTGTTTGGTTGTTTAAAAGCTATTTGGCGTTTTTTTTTTTCTGTTTAACTATTTTTTTTCTTAACTTTATGCTTAAATTGTATAATGGAGTTTTTGTGACTTTTAAAACATTGAAAAATTTTGACAACACTTCTCTATATCTATGTTACCTTGCCATAAATACAATAAGTGTTAAACCAAGCATTCCAAAATTCTCGATAGTCAATTGCAAATCCCAAAATTCTCGAGAATTTTTGGGGTTATTTTCGGTTTTTGCTCATCATCTTTCAAATCCACAAAAAAAAAATCATAAACCTACAAAGAGTTTCAAACAAACAATGTCACACCACAATAACAACACGTTTGCACCTAAAGAAAACTAAAATAATACAACAATAACCCAAATTCATGGTGATTTTGGGGTTATTGGGGTATTATTTCGGTGTAATTGGCGTATTATTTAGGTGTTATTGGATATTAATTCTAATAACGCTGCAATAACCCCCCAATAACACCGTGCAGTGAATCATTTCAATAGCCTCTGCGGTTTTACTTCAATAACCCCTGTAGAACAACTTCAATAAGTCCCCAATAACGCCGCAAGAACCCTTCAACAACACTTCAATAACACCCCGCAGAATAATTCCAATAACGACTTTAATAACGCCACAATAACCCCCCAATAACATCGCACGGTGAACCGAGAATTTTTTGGGTTATTTCAAGGTTATTCTCTGCTTTTGCTCCTAATCTTTCAAGTCTATAAAAAAATCATAAACTTACAAAGAATTTTAGACAAAAAATGTCACAAAACAATAACACATTTGCACCTAAAGAAAACCAAAATAACATCACAATAACCCAAATTCAGTGCTATTTTGGGGTTATTGGGGTATTATTTCGGTGCTATTGGGTATTAACTCCAATAACGCTGCAACAACCTCACAATAACACCGTGCGGTGAACCACCCCCATTACCTCCGCGGGCTCAATTACCTCCGCGGTTCTACTTCAATAATCTCCGCAGAATAACTTTAATAAGTCCCTAATAACGCCGCAATAACCCTTCAATAATACTTCAATATTCCCCCGCAGAACAATTCTAATAACCGCTTCAATAACGCAACAATAACCCCCAATAACATCACGAGGTGAATTGAGAATTTTTTGGGTTATTTTAGGGTTATTCTCGGTTTTTGCTCATCATCTTTCAAATTCACAAAAAAAAATCGTAAAACTGCAAAGAGTTTTAGATAGGCCATGTCACACCTAAATAACAACACATTTGCACCTAAAGAAAACCAAAATAACACCACAATAACCCAAATTCGGTGCTATTTTAGGGTTATTGGGGTATTATTTCTGTGTTATTGGGGTATTAGCTCTAATAATGCTACAATAACCCCCCAATAACACTGTGCGAGGAACCTCTCCAAGAACTTCCGCCGTTTCATTTCAATAACCCCCGCATAACAATTCTAATAAGTTCCCAATAACGCCGCAATAACCCTTCAATAACACTTCAATAACCCCCACATAGCAATTCCAATAACCGCTTCAATAACCCCCACATAGCAATTCTAGTAACCGCTTCATTAACACCGCAATAACCCCCCAATAACACAG